AACCTAATCTCTAAGTATTTACATCTGCAGTGTCTCTGTGAGCACAAATGATTAGCAAAAAAATATCTGTTTGACAGAATTGAAAAGTGTGACTCTTAATATCACATTGGAAATGCCCTTCCCTAACATTTTCTGAAGGTGAGATTGGTTTTCAGTAAATACTCATTGCAAGAGTCTGATTGTTGGTTAATTAATGATGTGATCAGTAATCAGTGCTTCTTACTTATCCTGAATTTTCCCAATTAATGTGTTTCTGATGATTCCCCCAAGCAACAGGGGAATGTGTTTCCAAAATAAGGAGGCACGTGTGCTTAGTCACACCCAGAAGACTGTAAAAGGGTGAGCAGAACTAGCACACTGGTGGATTCTGATCCTCTAAGATTTATAAGGAGCTCTGGTAGCATAGTGGTTACGAATCGGGCTGCGGACCTTAAGGTCAGCAGTTTGAAACTACCAGTTGTTCCGCAGGAGAAAGATGAGGCTTTCTGCTCCCGTAAAGATTTACAGCCTCGGAAACCCTGTACAGGGTCACTCTGAATTAGAACCGACTCAAGGGCACATCACCACCACCAAGATTTATAAAGATCCTAAGTGTTCCAGAATTCAACTCAATCAGACAGTTAACCACGGACTTTGTTTATTAGAGTAAATGCAAATACTAGAAGCACATGGTATAACAGAAGGGTGGGGAAGGGGAATCTGTATAAGATGTTCTAACAAACTGCTTCCCGCTGTTTCAAGTTATGCCCAGCCAACCGGTTTCCCTTGGTAGACACTTGCCACTCTCATTGCATGTACACACAGAGACCTGTGCACACGCAGGAGCACCCTCAAACACAAGCTCACACATGCATTCACACAGATGCATCTATCAGAGTGACTCTGTCAGAGTAAATCAGAGGAAACCGCCATTGTTATAAGCGAAGGCGCAAATATTTCACACAGTTATTTCACACAGCTCAGGCTACTTGTACTGGTTGTCACAGAGTTGCCTCCGACTCACAGTGAGGTCATGTGTGCAGAGAAGAACTTTCCTCCTTGGGGTTTTTAGATCTCCAGACCTGTGTTCTGAGGCACCTCTGGGTGGGTTTGACCTGCCAGCCTTATCAACTAGTAGTTAACAGCTAACCACTTAGTTACTTCACCACTCAGGAACTCCTTCAACTTCATTAATATCTATAAATACATATACACAGTGCACCCATGCCCTGTCCAAAAATATACAAAAGTACAAAGGGGCTTCAAAAACCTTGTAGAAAAACTCCATCATCTTCTCATTCTATTTCCCACGAACTTTTGGAAGCCTGTATGGTATGGAATATTCATGAAAGCCTTCTCTATAACTGTACCCCTCCCCCCATGTTGCCTCCCTTGATACTAACGCTCAGCCCTCCCTGCACAGGAGAGTGAAGATCTGGAGAAACAGAATGCGGCTCTGCGCAAGGAGATCAAGAAGCTCACGGAGGAGATGAAGTACTTCACGTCTGTGCTGAACAGCCACGAGCCCTTGTGCTCAGTGCTGACCACCAGTGTGCCCTCATCCCCCGAGGTGGTGTATACCTTCCACCAACCACACGTCAGCTCCCCGCGCTTCCAGCCCTGAGCCTCCCAATGGAATGGGAAGAACAGAGCCCCCACCCCTGCCGCCAAGGTGGCCCTAAGGGTGGGGCCACACAGACTATGGTCAGGCTGCCTTTGTTCCTCAGAGTCCTCTGTCCACCAGGAGACCCAGAGGCAAAGGTCTGGACAAGGAATGTACACAGGAGTGTAGCAGCTGGAGGTGTGTGAGGCCTTCCAGAAGTCTGGGGCGCTGCACCCCATGTGAGTGGGAGGCCCAAGCCAGATGAGCAGTGAGCATACTCCGCAAGCTCCCTGCACAGAGGGAGGAGGGCAGGGAAGGATCGTTTTTTCTAAATAAACATTGTAAAAGACACAACTTGGCAAGACCTTTTCCTTTAAACCCCCGAATTCTTCATTTGTTTTTTGCTTCAAGTACCCCTCAAGAGCTCTTGAAATTCAGCTAGCACCTCTTCTGCATTGGTTTGTTAATCTACTTTGGAAGTTGACTCGTCAAAGCATCTTCAGTCCTCCCTGGAGGAGGCATGTCTCTAGTTCTCTCCCCAAACCACCTCCCCATGACCTCACATTTTGTCATCTTCATTGTCCCATGTTCCTAGACTGGAAACTTCTAGACAGGGAGAAGGAAATGAAAAGTTCGGTTGACACTATCCTTGCACACAAACAACTACTTGCCTGATTCTCTGTGCCCAGCCTTGAAGATGCTGGCTGCCAGGCACTGAGCAAGGTAGTCTAAAAATAGAGCAGCAACGCTCACACATGAGGCAGGGCTTTCCTCATGTTCCCTAGGGTCAACATGTAGCTCAGATCCACAAGGACTTTCTTGACAATAGTCTGCAGGCCCTCCTGGTAGGAACCGGCTTTGGAGCGCACGTCATTTTGCTTGTCTGCAGCTTACTTGAGAGCCACAGTGGCAAGGGGTCGCACAGGGCTGTCTTCAGGCTTGAAATCCTCTAGTTTCTGTTGAATCCTCTAGTTTCTGTTGTGCTCCAGTTCTCCTGTTCTGACAACTCTCGGTGCCTCAGAGATCCAAAGGTACAGTCATAGCCACACATCTGTCTAATGGTGACAGCCACTTGAGAGGCCTGCTTGTATACACACACACACACACACACATGACCCTGCTGAGCCAGACAATGACAAAAACACCAGGGGCTTCCATGGGTTTGAGTCAAGCCCTCAGCACCCACTCTCAGTCTCACCCCTTTGTCCCTCAGAGGGACAGTTGTTGCTGCTGCCTCTCTGCTGGCAGCCATGTTGGGATGTGGTGACCACAGGGGAGAGGGACAAGGAGTAGGATCACCTCTCTGCATTGTGGCCCCTCCTCATCCCGCCAGTCTACAGCTCTGATTGGTTTGAGACTCTGTCTCTCTTATCTCTCTGGAATGATGTCAGCATTAGGGCAATCATGATTGTTAATTTCCTACCAGGCCTGGAAAAGTTGTGTCCCAGCGTGTAGTCACCAACCCAAGAGCCTCCGGGCTCCTCATCCTGAGGCCGTGGATGCCCTGGTGTGAATGGGAATGGGGCTAAGTTCAGTAACTCAGAACCCGTGCCACGGCCCAGAACTGTCCTCAACGGTCAGCACGTCTTTTATTTCTGGCATCATAACCATCATCTCCCACCTTTAGTCAATAAATGTATTCCTCTTGGTTGTTGTTGTTTAGTGCCATCGAGTTGGTTCCTTTTCACAGCGACCCTAAATAGGGTTTCTGAGGAGCAGCTGGTGGATTTGAACTCCTGACCCAGTGCTGTAATCCTGCTGCTGCTGCTGTGTGCCATGGAGTCGATTCTGACTCATAGTGACCCTGTACAGGGTTTCTGAGGCTGTAAATCTTTACGGGAGCAGATGCCTCATCTTTCTCCCACGGAACAGTTGGTAGTTTCAAACTGCTAACCTTGCAATTAGCAGCCCGATTTGTAACCACTACACTACCAGAGCTCCTTGCTGTAATCCTAGAGAGGGGTAAACAGCAACAACAAAAAATCCACGTTAAACATGCTGAAGATAAATACCGTAAAGCACCATTAAATGAGGAGTAGTTCAAACTTTCTCTAACCTCTTAGCACTCCAAAATAAAACTAAGTATGATTTGTATTAAATTTTAAAGTAGCTCCACATTTCTTGAAAAGATTAAGGTAACCCACCCACCAAAAAAAAAAAAAGCTTCAGAGGATAGAGAGAAACACTGTTAACTGATGATGTATGGATGGGATTATAATCAATGTAATGAAACAAGTCATATGAATGGTTGAATGTGAAACTGATGATGTGCCCTGTAAACCTTCACTCAATCCACAATAAAAACCTAAAAAAAAAAAAAAAAAAAGATTAAGGTAGATTTCCAATTTGGGAAACAGAGAAGAATTAATGTCATTTGGTTTTAAACAGAATTGTATTTAATCATCAAAGCTAAAGGCATGGCATGAAAATAATATCATTTGAACATTGTCATAGTCTAATGTTTGCAATCTGAAATGTCACCTAATTCCAGCAGAAAATTTAAGCAACTCAGGAACCAACCTTCTAAGCACTGGTGGTGGCTGTGTGCCGTGGAGTCGGTTCTGACTCATAGCAACCCTGTACAGGGTTTCCAAGGCTGTAAATCTTTACGGGAGCAGAAAGTCTCATCTTTCTCCCGCGGAACAGCTGGTAGTTTCAGACTGCTGACCTTGAGGTTCACAGCCCAATGTGTAACCACTACGCTACCAGAGCTCTCTAAATGATTATGTTGTTGTGAAGTGCCATTGAGTCGATTCCGACCGATAGCAACCCTGTATAGGGTTTCCAAGAAGCAGCTGGTGAGCTTGAACTGCTGACCTTGCAGTTCAAACAACTTTGCAGTCTGACCCATTAACACACAGCGCCACACCAGGACTCTTCTAAGCACTGTTGTTGTTGTTAAGTGCCGTCAAGTCGGTTCCAACCCATAGCAACCCTGTATAGAGTTTCCTAGGAGCGGCTGGTGAGCTTGAACTGCCGACCTTGTGGTTCAAACCAACTTTGCAGTCCAGTGCATTAACCCACAGCACCACGCCAGGACTCTAAGCACTGGATCAGTTCAAATACCTGGGACAACCAGAAGAGCAACGAGAGTAGGACACCTTACTTAAACTTTTGCAGTAGCTAAAGCAATACAGAAGTAGCAAGCCTTGTGATAATTTTTTTCTCATTTTGGTAACAAAATCATTAATGCTTTATAGTTGTGGCATGCTGTGAAATTTAAGAAATAAGACAAGTAAAGGAGTTCAGTAATACACTTGAAATAAGAAAGAATGTGCTATAACATTGACAGACTCAATATTCCTTAAATTTCATGCAAAAACTTCATTAACCCTTACCCATGAGGATTACCACAAATAGTCCATCTTCCAGAGAAGCAACACCCTCCACCTGCCTCTAATCCATTACATAGGCCTTAGGATAAACATGTTTATTCTTTTTTTTTTAACATGTTTATTCTTTGATTAAACAGTCATATAGATACCATGGGGTCCTGGTGTAGCACCGTAGGATAAGCACTCGACCTCAAGGTCAGTTTGAACTGCAAGGTTGGTGGTTCAAATTCACCAGCTGCTCCTCGGAAACCCTATACAGGGTCACTATGGGTTGGAACCGACTTCACAACAACAAACTAATACTATAAAGATGGTATTCATGCATCACGACTTAGTGACATTTTTTTTGCCTTCATTATTTCTTCAATCTTTTTCTCAGTGAATAAATGATTCTAAATAGTCTGAATCTTCCAAGTATAGTTCATCTCCTGGTAAAAGCTGGAGTGCCCCACTAGCAGTCAATAATAATGGGATTGGGAGCTGTCTTTTCCTCCTTTCAAATCCAAACAAAATTTGAGTTCCAGTACGACTTAAAATACAGAAGGCAACAAAGTTTAGGAAATGAGGCTTCTCTTCCAGTACTCAGAGTTGGTGTAGATTGGGGTGTATAGTTAGGGGGTGTAGCAAGGATTGTTTTCAGAGCATGGTTTTGGATCGCTAACAACGTTCTCTCTGGAGTCCCTGTGTGGTACAAGCAGCTAATGTCCTCAATGGCTAACACAAGATTGGAAGCTTGAGTTCTCCCAGAACAGTCTTGAAAGAAAGGTCTGGCAATCTACTTGGGGGAAAATCAGCCCTTGAAAATCTTATGGAGCACAATTCTATTCTGACATGCCAAGAGAGGGAATTGAAATGTTCCATTGAGCTCTCTCCAACCCTTTTGTTAACAGGCAAAGCACAGAACCTAATCATCACTTCAGATGTTGCCTGCATGGAATAGAATTCATTTTTCTTTCCCAGTTTTAAGTCTCAGCACTTTTGGTCTTGCTTTCTTTGTGGCTAATTCGGCAGTGTCTGGTCCCTCATGGGAGGCTGGGGCAGGCTTTCTTCCAAGCAGAGATTTTTCTCCCCACCCCTGTTCTAGCCTGTGATTTTCCCCCTGAAATCCCCACAGAAGGCACATGACTGGTACAGGGCGTCTTCTGAATGACACTCTGGACAGAAGAAGAGACGCTGAACTCACGTGCCCAGTTCCCATCACTCAGCATGGACTGCTCTTCCCCTTTCAATCTCCACTTTCTAATGACCCCGAACAGTCCCACTTCTCCTTTCTGTCTCCTCAGGCTGGTAGAAGGAACCAAGGGCTGAGACTAGAACTAGTGCAAATATTGACTGCATCCATCTCAACAGAGGAAACGCACAGGGACATCCATGAGTAGAGATTTGGACCTCCATAGCTGTGATCCTACTATACCACCGACCCATCCCAGGCTCTCTCCTAGGCAGGAGACACACACTACAAGCCTCCAGGGCCCAGGCAGGAAGCCCCTGGAGATAGGACAAGTGGAAGTGGTGAAGAGTGCAGGCACTGGGAAGTGAGCGCTTGCCTATGGAAAGAGGGCAGCTGAGAACTAGGCAAGATGGCGGACTAGGCAGCCGTGCTACACAGACCTAGCCAACAAAGATACGAGAGACCAGCTGAAACAAATATAGATGATACTTCTGGAACTCTGAGTTTCAGAGGACAGGATAAAAAAATGAACTGAACACTGACTGGG